TTTTCCCCGGTGCTGGCGACAGAGGTGGGGTCTCGGGCCTGGGCTTCGCGACATTTGGCGGCCAAAGCGTGGGAGCGTGGGATGTATTCCAAGTCCAGTCGTGGAATGCATGCGCCGCCGGGCTGCGCCGGGCTGCAGGGGCATCGCCAGACGCCATCTTTACCTCCGGTACTGCGCTCGGATTCCAGCACGAAAAGCGCGCGCCTTGCAGTGTACGACTTATCTGCCTCACAGAAACGCAAGTTCGCGCTAAGAAAGGTAGTGTCTTTTTAGTATTTACACGCTACGCGACACAGCCGGCCACCGGGCGCTTTGCCCTTCCCGTTCTTTCATTTCCTGTTCCTTTACTTCCAGTTAGTTCCCGGGATTTGAACTTCGCTTCCTTTGCCTGTCCGATAGTTTCCTGACATGTCCCTTCACTTCCTTCATTTCCTTGAACGCCCCGTCATTCGCATTCCTTCCCCTTAGGTCTTTGCAGTTCCCCTGACTTCAACCTCGCGTCCCATTTCACGTCAGTTTCCTGCACATCCCTTCATTTCTCATGAGTTGCTCTTCGTTTCCCACAATTTCTTGCATTTTCCTGCATCTTGTTTTTTTTTTCAGTGCCCCCTTCATGTTCGTGCAATTCTCCAGCTCCCTTCACATTCTGCCCTTGCATTTTCCTGCATCTTTGTTTCTCTCCACCAGTGTCCTGTTTCCCTGCATTTCCCCTTCACTGTCTGCAGTTTTCAGCCCCTTGGTTTACATTGCCAGCATGCATAGCATCATCTGCATCATCCGGGATGATGCTGGCAATGCTGGGGGTGTTGTCCAGTATTAGGCACCCCCCAAAACGCTCGTTTTTGGACGCCACGGGGAGATGCTACAAAAATCAACAAAACCAATCCGCAAATCCTTCGCCCCTTATAAGGGAGGGCCCAGCACAAAACGTATGCGCATGGTCCGCACATCAGTTTTCCACGTGCTGTCATGATTTTCGCAACCGCGCGGCCTGGAACCCCTACAAAACCGAGCAAAAACACTCGGTTTTTCTGCTGGTTCGCCAAAAACGCTGCCCGAAATCGGGTTCGGCCGGGGAGAGGTGAGCCCTGCCTGCTAAGCAGGTTTCCATATTTTCCACGTTTGCGCCCGCCAAAAACCTTCAAAAACACTGTGTTTTTGCACGTTCTCGGCAAAATTGGCCCGACTCAGGTGACAACATCCCCAGCATCCCCCGCATCACCGTCCTTATCCGCATCAATGTCCGCCATGGATGCGGACGATGCAGGTGATATGCTCAACAAGTCGTCAAAAATCGCCTGAACAAATTCACAAATCCTTCGCCCCTTAGCAGTGAACGCAGCCTCCGTTCGACACGGAGTGAACGTGGAGTGAACCTAGAGTGAGCCTAGAGTGGGTCGGCGGCAGGGGGCGCGAGCCTTATAACCTTGGGTTAGAGGGAACCGAAGGCCTCCGGGGAAACCACGGGGGGAAACTACGGGCTCGGGGTGCCCGGATTTAAGGGCTTACACCTGACAGCCGGGCGCCCCGAAAAGCGTCAGTGTTCCACGATGTTCCACGTGCTGTCATGATTTTCGGAACCGCGCGGCCTGGAACCCATACAAAACCAGCAAAAACACTCGGTTTTTCTACGGGTTCGCCAAAAACGCTGCCAGGAATCGGGTTCGGCCGGGGAGAGGTGAGTCCTGCCTGCTAAGCAGGTTTCCACATTTTCCACGTTTGCGCCCGGCCTTGAATCCATACAAAACTATCGAAAACACAGTGTTTTTCTGCGGTTCACCGAAAAGCCTACCAAAAATCGAGTTCGGCCGGGACCGTTGGAGCCTGCCTGCTAAGCAGGTTTCCATATTTTCCACGTTTGCGCCCGCCAAAAACCTTCAAAAACACTGTGTTTTTGCACGTTCTCGGCAAATTGGCCCGACTCGGGGGACAACATCCCCAGCATCCCCCGCATCACCGGCCTTATCCGCATCAATGTCCGCCATGGATGCGGACGATGCAGGTGATATGCTTGCTCAACAAGTCGTCAAAAATCGCCTGAACAAATTCACAAATCCTTCGCCCCTTAGCAGTGAATGCAGCCTCCGTTCGACACGGAGTGAACGTGGAGTGAACCTAGAGTGAGCCTAGAGTGGGTCAGCGGCAGGGGGCGCGAGCCTTATAACCTTCGGTTAGAGGGAACCGAAGGTCTGCGGGGAAACCACGGGCTCGGGGCGCCCGGATTAACCAGGCTCCCGCCTGCTGCCGCCGACCAGGGACAAGTCATAAGGACCGGTCCTGAAACACGTCCCCAGGGACCACTTACCGACCACAAACCAGGATTAACGGAAAAGTCAGAAATATGGCAGCTAGTCCGTTAATTACCGCTTGGGCCGGCTTGCGCCCAAGTCACTTCAAGTTAAGTTGGCCCGGGAGCAGTCGCCTCTCCCGGGGTCGCCCTGAAACTGGCCCTCCCGAAACTGCCCGGGGACAGTTGCCGGACCGGTCGCCGGCAGGGACCGGGACTTGGGACCCTGTCCAGGCTGGTCCCAGTCTGGCGCGGTTTGACTCAACGTATTGGACTCTCTTGCAGATCCAGGGATCCTCTACTACCACAAGGATTAACGGAAAAGTCGGGCGGGTGGCAGACAGACGGCAGACCGCACGGGCCGAGTCACGTTGACAGAAACAAGGCCGTCGGTGCCCCTCAACCGTTGGAGGAAACAGGTGTTTGGAGCGGTTTGAGGTGGCACCAGGTGTCTGCAACCGGGATCCAATACCAGCACCAGGACTCGATCCCGGGACCGGCTTGGACTGACTGGTCCCGACTGGTCCTCTTGGGACTGGTCGCAAGACCGGTCCTGGGACCAGGACCGGTCCAGGAAGGTTTTGGCTGACTACAAGAACAAACCAGAGTCCCAGGACCCAGACTGGTGCTGGGAATCCACTTTTTGTGCTTTCAGCCGTGTCTTTTAGGGACCACATCCCACACCGGACGGGAGGCAGAGGGTCGGCGGATTAGGGTTGGGGCCTGGAGTCTGGTTTTTGGCCAAGGGCCTTCCCCCCCTGTGAAACAAGGTCTCGGGAATGCAACCTCAGGGCCCTTCTCGTGTGGAGATGATCTGATTCAAGGGGTTCCTTTGACTAGCGTCCAGGTCCATCTGAAGCTAAAAAAGATAGACCTCGTCCAGTGCTCCGCTCTGGCCAGGTTCCATCGCCCGCCAAGGCGCGTGGTGCTTTTGGACCCCCTTCAGTCGGAAAAGTCTGGCGGGCCTGGAACCAGATGCTGGGGATGTTCATTCCTTTTGATTGGCAGCCCTCAAGAGGCACACTTCCATTTGCTCAAGGCTAGTCTTTGTTTTCCCTTTGGTATTGAAGGAAATATATCACTACTGGAAATATGTTCTGTTTGCTCACGGGGCTTAAGCAAACGGAAGCACAAGAAAAGAGATATTCCTGAAACCCACTAAGCTTGCACCGCCAGCAGTTTTCCTTTCGTGAGGGACTCCGTGGGGCTTGGTGGTTCGTAGTCATCCCCTTTAGACTATTAGCTTTTTAGTTGGTGTAGTGGTTGGGCTTCCTTTTAGCCCACTAAAAGTGGTCGACTTTGAGCAGAGGAATCCGAAAACGGACGGCAACCTGCTTCAGTTTCCGAAGTTTACGGACTTCCCCTTGACTGCTATTGGGTTGGATCTTTAGACTTTGACTTTTTGGTTGAAACCAAGTTGGGTTTCCCACGAACCCCCCAAAAAGTGAAGAACTTTTTGCAGGGTCAACCGGCAGCCAAGTCCCAACTCGCCACTCGCCCCTCGCCACTCGTCAGGTGCGGAACCCCGGCCGCGTGATGCGCAGCTTCGAGCCGGTCCTGCGGTCCAGGCGTCGAGTCGCGTGGAGTGGAGCCGGTTGCCCCCCGACGCGAGTCGGACACCTTCCATCGTCCAGTTGCTTCAGACTATGGTTTATTTCCCCCGGGTTTTAGCTCAAATGGAATAGATACTACTGGAAATGTGTTTATGCTTTCTTTTTTTATGTTTCCAGTGGACTTAAGCAAATGGAAGCCATTATCTTCTCCTTGGTCGAAAAGTGCGACCCGCCCCAATTTATCCCGCCAGAATCTCACCCGAGAAGGTTCTCTCAGATCCCTTCCCAGCCTTTCATGGGGCGTGTGGGAGCTGCTTCCATCTCTGGCAGCTCGCCACCTCAAAAGTGGTTGGTGGACATGAATCCCCCACCGAATTCTGATGTCCACATCATTTGTTCCTTATCACATTTGTGTGCAAGAACCGCTTCAAATCCCCAGAGGCATTTTCAGGCGAAGGGCGTTTGACGGCCGACTGTGGGGCAACAATCCAAGGGCAAGTGAGTTCGGGGTTATTTTGTTTGAGGTCCGTTCTCCAAGTCCGGTAGTTCCGAATGCGATTCAGTTCTCAGTGACCTCTCGCGGAATCCCCGTTTCCCCAAACAAGCCTTTCAGACCGCAGGTTATCGAGGCACGCGGGCACAGTGGGGTATTCAGATCCGTTTTGGAGCAACAAAGCACTGCTGAGAGGGAGAACGGCGACTGAACCTTGGAGGCTTGCCCTGTTGCAACTTGCCGATTTTTTCGCCCAGAGTGCAACGCCTAGGCACGAACCACCATGAAATGCGGCTGGTCCTTTTGCCTTTGTGGGGCCTAGTTTGGCATACCGTCAGGTTCAATGGGGCGGCCGTGTGGTCGGCCTCCGCGGCCAGAACGGTCCTGACGGATTTGTGTCCATCAAAACAGGCCCTTTCAGGACCCAAGAGCAAGGAGGTGTGGGATGCTCCAATTCGACCTCAGGACCCTTAGGGCCTTTAGATGTTCCTAATGAGAGTGTCATCAACCCGCTGGTGGCAGGGGTTGGCAGCCATGTAAGGGATTTTGGCTAAGGGAAGCCTTTTGGACAATGACTACTTTCCCACAGATCGTCCACACGTTTCACTTTTGCAGGTGTGAGCCCGGCAAGGAGCATCTTGACATGTCTTGCATACGGCCGGCCGGCAGTAATTCGGGCTCAAGTCAAGAGCCACAATCCATTCATATACCGTTGCTTTTCCGAATTCTTTTCGCCTCAGCCATGCAGATTTCTGAGGAGATGACCTGGCAGGCCTCGTGGGTGCAACTGTGGTCGCCGCAGTTTAGGGGTTAAAAGCCTCATATGTGTTTTGTCCGGGGCCTCCTCCAAAACTATATGTATCAATTTTACTAGGGGTGGCGAAGTATGGAACAGAGTCAGGACAGATCAAGCCTTCAAGCAAATCGAGGTGGCCCGCTGCTCGAACTCCAATTGAGCGTTCCGAATCGACGCATCTAGGGGATGTTCCAAAGCATTTTTTCTCACAGCTTCCACGTCCGTTTCCACTCAGAAGGTGTTCAAGGTTGACCAAAGCCGTGGTGTCTGAATGTGCCCCCCCCACAAGGGTGGTTTTCCTTTTTGCTTTCCGCTAAAAACACCCGAGGATGGGCACCCTTTTGAAAAGAGACACACCCATGTGTGATCTTCCATCGTCCATGTCAAGCCAAGTGGATTGCCTTGACACTTGGGGGCCTCGGAGGGTTCGCCCTTCCCACTCGTAGGCGGAAATAGCCATATGGATGGATGGTTAGTGATTTCCCTGGAAATGGCAACAAATAATGGGTTTAACCATGGTTTCAACTTGGTGCCAAAGGATTTGTTCCATCCACAGCATGGTTGAATTCCTAATTGTTGGCTTCCTCTAGGGTGGTGAAAATGGTGCCAGAGGGCCATGCTGAAAGCTCTACACTCCATCTGCCTTGATGGGACACCAAGGGTGCCACCAACTTTTGAGGAATCAAACACATCACCTTTGTTTCGGGTCAGTCTGGGAAAAAAATGAAGCCGGGGTCCCGGTCCTCTTTGCCCGACCGATCACGTCCCCCAACCATGAGCTTGTTATCCAAAGCGCATTTAGGGGCGGACCTGTTGGTTTCTCCATTTGTGTGTGTGTGTGTGTTTGGGGGGCACTCGTTTTGAAGTTGGTTTGAAGGGAAAGCAAAAGGAGGTTTCATTCTTTGGGAACCCCCCAATTGTGGCACATATTTCGAGTCCAGGCCCCAGGTGATCCCCTAAGCACAAATCCTAGATTCTTTCACCCATTGCCAGGGGTTTGGCTAATTTCCTCCTTCCTATTGGGCCAGCCGTCCAACAAAAATCGATATAGAGCGGAAAAGGCAGATGTGGTTTTCGCACCTAGTTTTGTTTTCAGATCCATGAGGATCCTTCTGTTTATCTGTTGCGGCGCAAATAAATTTGGGCCATTCCTCCGAAGTCGGGTTGCACTTGCCCAGGTCCAAATCGCCAGCTCCGGGATCTGCCAAGAAACTCCTTGTTGGGCGTTTGGAAATCCGTTGGTTCCTATAGAAATTCCCTTATAAACCCCAAAACGGGGGGGGAAGGGGAAAAAGGGGAACCCCCTGCAAAAAAACACATGCTGCACCGGCGCAAAGTCGGTGAGGCATGGCTGGTCTTGGGCCTGATCTTGTCCAGTTTGGTGCTCCTCTTCATGGAGGTGTCCTCACCCGACCAAGTGATGATGGGCACACTCTGCGCCTCAAAAGCCAATGGCGGGGCCAGCGGCTTTTTCTTTGGCGCATTTTGCCAAGGGGATGTTAGGACTTTAACTTTTTGCCAACTAAGGGGTGTTCCGTAGTAAACCACTAAAAGTTAAACTTTTAGCATCTTTTAGCAGGGGAGCAGAAAGCAGCCGAGCACCAGAATCGCCCGCGACACCCAGGGACAAAAACAAGAAGATGTGTGAGGAGTTTCCTACTTGAACCCTATTTGACCCTTCGCCCCACAACCCAAGGAGTGGGTTTCGCCCATTTCGCCCTCTTGTTGCAGGCCCGGCGCCCTGTCAAAAAGGATTTCCCACAGCATACAAACAGTAGAGCTTCTCTGCCTTGCAGACCAGCAGGGGACTCCCAGAAAAAGGGAATTTGCAGATTAAGGGAATCCCATGCCGATTCCTCTACATGGACTTCCTCTCTTTTTTCTCACAGACTAGCAAGGAATCCCACCCAAACAAAAACAATCCATTGCTAGAGGAATGTGCTGCAGATCTGGATGGGATTTGCAAAACCCATCCGCTTCTCGGAGAGACCTGAGAAAGAGCAACCGTTTTTCAGGAACAGACTCTCCCTTCCTGTTGATTCTCAGCAAGGCATGAGGGCATGACCCCAAGAAGCTTTCGTAGTTCTCAAAGGGGGTCCCGGGGTTGATTCCCGAAACTCGAAAATGATTCTCTCTTCCTGCCGCCTCAAACCCCGCTGATAGCTGCATGGCCCGACAAAACCACCTTTGTGATTACACACAGGGGCTTTATAAGCCCAGTAAAGTCCTCTTTGTAGCTTCTTGATCAGAAAGCCGGGGGTTATAAATCCATGCAAAACCCCTTCATGAGCTCTATAACCCCCTTCAAAGCCCAGCACTTCGGCGCCAGCTCCGCGTTTCGCCGAGGCATTTTGTGGAACTGCGGCATCGTCTCCACCCAGCAGGCCCTGGACGGCTTCTCCAACACAGGTGCCTGAGCTGAAGCGACCACTGCAAGGAAACACGGACGAGTTGATTTGGCAGACTACGGATGGCACTACTCACGTGACTTCTTGTGGGTTCACAAGATTGTCATTTTATCTATTCACCGTCCTTGCCCATCCTTCAACATGCTGATTGTAGAGAAGAGAGCTGGAGCAAAATTGCTTTGGCCTCGTGTTTTGGTGTGCGTGTGTGTTTCTTGCCGCTTGGTTTTCCGTATTCTTCACCTATAGCTTGGATTGTGAGAGGGTGGGGGGTCGGGACCCGATTCCACGCTTCCCATCCCGCAAGAAACATGGAGGCAGAAGTGGAGATCTCGGGTCAAAATCTCCCCTCCCCCAATTTCACGGCATTCCAAGCTTGGCCTCTTGCCTCTGAATATGGACCAAACCTGGCAACGAAATGGTTTCGGAGTTGGAACAGTGAGCTCTGGTGGTGGCATGGCGGTGGCTTCTCAGCAGTTCAGTGGTCCCCCGCCTCCCCATGCCACTAGCAAACAGAAAATCAATCCCGAGAGGCCGGGGTTTGAGTGGAGGGACAGGCTTGCGCCGAGCCGTTCCCAGTAGCCACGTTTGCGCTGCACTGGGTTTGATTCAATGAGAAAAAAAATCCACAGGGGTCACATGAGATATCACCTTGGACTGTGAGAAGACCAGATTGAAAGGGATATCTCTGCACCTCTCCCCAAAAAATTGCTCCACATTTGACCCCCCGAGCTGAGGGAAGCCATGGAGGACACCCGAAAGCGCGTCTGTCTTGCGCTTTTTCTTTGGATGTGTGTGGCGATGTTTCTCTCAAAACGGTCCAATATGGTCCAAAAAGAAAATCAAAGGGAAGCCAACCATTTCGGTCTCTTTACTGGCTGGGAATAGTTTAGGGCGGACTTCTCTCCACCAACGACGTTTGAGAGGATGTTCTCTCAACCCGTCATTGCCATCATCATCGACTTTTGCATAGAAGCCTTGAGAAGCAGACGCCGTGAGACCATCCCCGAGGGCCTGGTGAACTTGGGATCACAACCACGTGAAAATTCGCCCGGCGGTGTCTAGAGTGCCCAAGGTTTGCCCTGGCCTTTGCTTTGGGTGGAAACCATCAGCCAAGGTCCCTAGGGTAAGATTTGTGTCGGTAAAAAAGACAAGCAAGAAGCACTCCTGGAGGGTTTGGGGATCCAAATCCTTGTAAAGAAAGTGGTTGGAATGCAATTCTCCTTTTCAGACCCCTGAAATAGACCAACTCACCCAGATGACTCTCGCGGATACTCACCCCTTCTCATCACCCGCCAGACATTTGTCGGCTGCCGCCCTTTTTTTCGTGCCGGGTGGACGGCCAAAATCTGGCCTCATTGTTTAAGTGGTGGGTTAAAGGGAAACAACCAGAAACCGTCAAAATAATGACCCCAGAAAATGTCCCATCCAACCAACCGAGGCTTGGTGTCGATCGCGGCCTTGTTCATCGTGATGCACGCGGTGGACAAGAGTCGGGTGGTGGACTGCGCTGCGCGTCGCATCTTGGGGAACCACCTCAAAGCGCCTCGGCGGAGCTGCGCCGCCGGTTGGTGTTGTTGTTTTTGTTTTCTGTTTGTTGCCACGTTTTTGTTTTTTTTCGGGGTGGATTGTCCATAGAAGGAAGATGTTGGGTTTTCCGACCTGTTGGTTTTAAAGGGAATGTTTTGTTTCTTCTTCTTTTTTTCCGGGGGGCTCAAGCAAATGAATGGTAAAGGTGGTGGAACGTAGCATTCGTCCTATGTTCAGGTGGGTACCCTTAGACTAGCAAAGCGAAGAGGGCTAGCTGGAGATGGGGCATTTTTTTGGGGGGGTACTGGGTACTCACGTATGGTTCTAGCCATCCCGAGTGGTTTCCCAAGAAGAAAGTTCGATCAGACGTAACTTTGGGGGCCAATAACCGACATGTAACCAAAACAGGCAACTCCCGAAAGCAACTCCTCAAACACATGCCTTGGGGGGGGGGGGCAGGCCATGTGAATCAGTAAGACAGAGAGAACAAAGCATGCGTCTTCTTCATTGGACATCCCCACTCAACCCCAAATTCGCGCGTAGGCAAAAGAAATCAGAAGCCTAAGCCAAAGGCCTGCCCGGTTCGGAACCTAACGCCAACCACTTTTGCAGATGGGGGGTTACGCCCTATGACCGTTGAACCTAACACCAACCGCTTTGAACGTGACAAAGAGTTTGCGTTAGTCGAAACTGGGATATTGGTAGGCAGGCGCTTGCTGGCCGAAACTGGCAGCCTCGCCTTGTTTTCAACCATGGGCCATTGGCCTGGCCGGTGTTCAGTCTGAGTCTGATCTGTGTACTTCTTTTGGCCTGCCTTTAGTGTCCTTCAGACTTCCCGTGCGCTCACGTTTGAGTGCCTCTTGACTCCCTTGACCCTTTGCCCGTGCGCCACCGAACCTCCAAAACAATGCGAAGGGAAACCCCGAGCCAAGCAATTGGCAAACGGATTCGTTTCGCTTGGCATCAGGACCAAATGTTTACAATAATCTTGTGCCAGGTTGCAACCCCGGCTCATGGTTGAAACGGGGGCGGTGAAGGCTGCATTTTGTGGTGTCCATTGTTTGGCCTGAAAGTTAGCTAAGTGGTTGTCTCAACCCCCCGGCTCATGGTTGAAACGGGGGCGGTGAAGGCTGCATTTGGTGGTGTCCACTGCTTGGCCTGAAAGTTAGCTAAGTGGTTGTCTCAACCTCCCGTGAACCCTCGGGCAAAAAAGCAAGTTTCTTGGGGCTTAAGGACAGCCCAAGGCCTTTATGACACCCGAGGCGTTTGAGTTCCAATTGGTGGTTTGGATGGTGGGATTTGAGCCCCCGGCTCTTGTGGGTAGATGGGAAGCCACCGCTCTTCAGCTCCAATTCAAACCCAAGTGGCCAACCCACCCACCCCCACGCCTCTTGTGGCGAGCCAAGCGCCACGCATTCCATGCGAGCGAGGATCGGATGGTTCTGCTGAGGGTCTGCGGCCTCGTCTTTGTCTTTTCTGGCTTCTGTGGCCCGGATGCGACAGGGATCCACTTCATATGGGCGTGTCTTTTTTGAAGCCACCGTACTATCCGCCGTACTCTTTGTGGATTGACTCAAAGGGAAAACACAGGGCAATCCTGCAATGTGCATTGCTTTGTGTGTTTGCTTGGTTGTTTGCACAGGTTTGGCGTATCAATTTCCTTCTTCCCCACCGTCCCCGCCCCCATCCAACCCTTGAGGCCTCATTTGGCCCTCTTGGGCTTTAAGCTGGCTTGTTCCCCGCTTTTTTCCCCCAACCCCCTCCTTGTTTTCTTTCCCAAGCCCCCAAAGGCCCAAAGGCACCTGACATCGACCAAAAGCCCGCCGAACTCTGTGGGCTCGTAGGCCTTGCGGGGGGGGAGGGGGCCCCTGGACCACTGGAGGTCCATCCGTTTGTGTGTATCGGACCCCCTTGAATGTTCAACGCAGGTTACACAACTTCAGCCCAACTTAAGGACCTCGTTCAAAACACATGAGAACACCACTTACCCCATGGGACAGTCATCCAGGTGGTTTGTTGCGGACCCCTGGCTTACTTGTTCTGTTCTCGGGAGGGAATGTGACAATGACCCTCTTGTAACATCTGTCCTATTGCCCGCAAGCAAGCAAGCAAGCAAGTAAGCAAGTAAAGCCATTTTAGTGGGTGGTTCTAGTGTTTTCATTCTGGTTTTCGAGTTCCTGGGGTCATCGGCGGTTGTAGTACATACAGCCTATTGATGTTCAATTTTGTTAACCTTTGAACCATGGTAGCGGGCGCTCAAGTGGGCTCGCACGAGGCAATAACACGCCTTTGGTGGTGCTCTTCATGCCGGTTCTGCGAGACTGGGCCCGCAGCAACCAGCGGGCCCCCTCCACCTTCTTGAGCCTTGGATTTTCCGACAGAGGCTCCTGGAGTTGGGAAAGTGGGCCCCTTTAGGGTGTTCCTTAAAGGAATGTGGCCACATTGAAAAGCACATGGACCGGCTGGCTCACGGCTTTCTGCGTTTACCATGTGAGATTTTGTGTCCACTTGCCAGAGTTCCATTTTGGGGGGTTACCCTATATTTGACTCACAGCTTGGTGGGTTTCCCGTGTTGACGTGTGTTTTTTTTCTCGTCGGGAGTGCGCCCGCTGAGGCGCCCTGAGGAAAGGAATGAACCACACCAGCCCCCTACGAGCCATGAAAAGGCCTGGGTCCTTTTACAACCCCCGTACCTCCATTTGCTTAAGAGTATGTTTTTATTTTCCCTTGTTGAGGGAACACCCCCCCTAATAATTGGACGGGTTTATTAATCGTGGGTCAACATTACAACCCCTGTAGGATTATGTTGTACGTCTATTGCGTAGCTCACCCCCCTGCACCTAGGAGTTGATATGTTTGAGGGGCTTAGGACGGTATGGCCTGAAAGAAATCCGCGTGAGGATCCCCCTGAGCTATGCGTCGATCATGGGGGGCATGCTGACCACCATCGGCACCAGCACCAACCTGCTGATCAATGGCCTGCTGGAGAAGGAGGGGATCAGGCTGGCGGGGGGGGGGGGGGGGGGGGGCTTCATTTGGGTGAACAGACCTCAACAAAACCAAAAGGGAATGGAGCAGTGCTGTTTTTCATCAGTCTCATTTCGCCTTTCATAAGCCCTCAGGCTTCTTAGATGGATCATTTGGCCGACAACATCAAAACTACATGGAGCATGGTTGTTTTTGGCCAGAGACCTCTTTAAGTCAGCCGCATTTCGCCTGGCCTGACCCCCGGGCACGCGATGGTGTCTCGCTCCAAAATTGTAGATTTTGGAGAGGGCATTCAGAGGGAAACCATCCGGACTAGCCCAACCTCGGATTGCAGAAACCACATGGTGAACTTTCAACTCGAAGGTTTCCAGTGACTTGACTCGGAAACTATCACGACAGGGAAACTGCGGCTGTGACATCCCGCGTGACATCCTGAAACGGTGGCCTTCTTTCGGGCATGCCCACAGTTCCCAACCCCACCCCATCCACATAAGTCTCCACCTCAACCCCACCCAACCCCAACGCACCAGTCAGCCAACCACACCCCAGCTCAACCCCAGCGCATTTTTATTCAGGCTGAAAGTTCGCTGAGCCGGTTGAACGTTGGGAGCCCGGCTAGGCCTTTCAACTTCTTCGAGCCGGCCATCCTGAGTCTCCCCATCGGCGCCTTTAGCCGCTGGCCCAAAATGCCTGGGATGGCCTCTGTTTTGACACATCCTCATGGGGAGTTCCAAGTGATTTTTCCAGTGAAGATTTCCACAATTTCCTTTTGGGGCGGCGCCAAATTTTAGAGATGGCTGTGGCTCAAAAACATGTACCAAAATGAGACCTTGGTGAAGAACCAGGGGCTAAAACCTAACCCTGGCTCGTTCATTTTGAGCCACACCCAAATCCTCATGCCGGGAGTTCCAAGTGTTTTCCCAGTGCTAAGTCTCCGAAAAGTCCTTTTGGGGCGCTGCAGAAAATTATCCAACCAGGTGAGTTTTAGTCTGTGGCGTGTTTTCCAGTCTTCCAGCTGGGACTGTTATCCGGAGAGTCAATCAATTTTGTTATGGCACCTCAAACATGCAGTTAGGCCCTTAACATTTTCCAGATTGTTGTTTTTGTTCACTGGGTTTAGGGGCAGACGAATGGACATGGCACTTACAAGAAGGGGGGGGCACCTGTTTGGGGGGGGGGGTTGTGCGTTCTACCAAACGTTGTGCACAAGCCCGAGACATCTTGCAGTACCTTCCCAAGAAGGCAATGAGTCAATGAATCATTGAATCCCGCTCGGTTTCCCAGTCCTGATCTCCAAAGCTTACCGGCTCCCTCAAGAGGATGGCTTTCGTCTTCCAAAACCCTTTGTCCACTATGATGGCTCCCCTTTTCTTTGGGAGCTCTCCGAATGGTGACCACCTGACATGGTCATTCTAGTTGTGAAGCCTTTCACAATCAGCTGTGCCAAAAGGTGACAACATCCTCACAATGTCCTTCGCCATTTTGAAGTTTGAGCGTGTCTTTTTTAAAGGACCCCCCCAAAAAAAAACAAAAAAAGAAAAGAAAGAAATAAACATAAATCACCAAATATAAAACATGTCCAAGCCACCAAAAAGACGGGCAAGCTGAGCAAACCATACTCCCGAAATGATGGAGACGTCTCCCGGCAGCTCATTGGAAAAGCCCCCCATTCAGTCAGCGCCCCCTGAAGCCCCCCCCCCCCAAGGTCCATCTCAAGGTCCCCCAGCTAGGTGCCCTTCTTTTACCCTTTTTTGTTTGGGAGGGTTCCCTTAGTAAAATAGACTACAGAAAAAATCGGGTACCCTTATTCTAACCTCTCCACTGGAGGACCTAGATCTTAAGCACCCCGCACCCATTGGCAGATTCACCCAGGCTGTCGCTGAAAAGGACATAGGCATGGGATCCGACAATTTGCAGCCGTCTTCTTTTTAAACGGTCCTTCCGCCAGGTCCGTTTGCTTTCGGCCGTTCCCTGAGAACGGGTTCCAGCCGTTCTCAGAAATTCCGGGTTCCACATCCCAGCGCCTCTGGCCCTTAATATGACCAAACCCGTTTGGGTCTCGAACATTTGTCACGGTTTCCCTTGGCCAATCGACGACCATTGGGAGCAACCTTGGATCGTTGGTCAACCTTTCGTTCGTATGTTTAACCAGGACTTTGGGGGAAAATGTGGGTATGTGCCCCAGGAAAGGTGGCGGTCCTGCTGGTGTCTCTAAAAACGCCAACGTGAAAAGGGTGCCACCAGAAAAGCACGCCCAGTTTTGTGTGTGTTGCCCCACTCAGCATTCTGGTGAACTTATGTTTCCTCGCAACGCGGCAAACTGCTAAACAGGGCAACTGGGCATGGCGTGAGCAAAAAGCTGAAGTTATGTTGCATCCCGCACCGATAGGTGCTGAAGTACCCACTTAGGAGACTTGTAAATACAATGCCCCCTCTAAGTGGGGTTGAATGGATGACTGAGGCCTGTTGCTGCTGATCCTGTTGGCGCCAATGGTACTGCCCAACAATAAGGGAGGCCTCTTCCGAGAGGCCGCAGATTAAAACCGAAGGGGTCGGCAGCTCCTTTCGAGGCGAAAGGTGGCCCGCTTTTTGGAGGGTTGGTTTCAAGGAACTCAGTTGTTGGTTTTGGGTGAGAGGGGTGAGGTAAGAATTCCCTATTTCGAGACAAACCGAGACGGGTTTGCCACCCACAGTAAACCTCATAGATAAGAAGCCCTGCTTTAGCCCGGTGTGCTATCTTTCATGGTATGCCCCGGGCGAAAGCCTCATTTGAGACTTTCGTTCCTGGCCAATCCACTCAGGAACTGAGAAACGGAACCCCTTCTTCCGCCGAAGGTCACCGGCTGCAACTGGGATCTATGGACACCCCTATAGCCAGCCAGGTGCATCCACCGATCAACAAAAATCCCCACACGCTTGTTGGGGAGGTGTTTGTTGTCACAGAGCCCTCATACAAGCTACAAACAACCGCCTTTAGAGTCGGCAGTCGGGTTGTGCAACGGGCACGTTTGCCAGGAAGGCACCAATGGGACCACATAGGCGGCGTCACTGCGCTGTGAGTACCGAAGAACCACTGCGTGTGTAGGAATGGGGGTAGGTGTCAAAATCGGGACCCAACAATTGATTTATGATAGTCCTTTGCCAGATGAGATGTTGAATTTCCACTCAAGTAAACGTACAGCCGAATTTGTATGTAGATGTTAAGCGTCATCATTTGTACTGCAAACAAATGTCAGTATCTTGATAGGAAAGTTATTGCTTTATCGTTTCATTGGGAATTGATGCATTGTCAAAGTGATACACACACACACACACATATATATATATATATGTGTGTGTGTGTATTTACAGATGATGTATATTGTCCAGGTCCGCGGTTCTGCCACCCGCCCTATGCTATCCCCTGCCCGAGGCCACTTGCTTGGATTCCCCACGACCCTCCCCGCATCCCCCAAGAATGGCAAGCCGATGGGGGAGAAGGTGGTGTTAGTAATCCAATGTTAACATTGAGGAGCCCTCACTCGCAAAAACCCAGTTGTCCAGTTTCACCAATCTCTAAATCACTTCTTGTCTGGTGGGTTCCCCACGAACAATGACCCTCAAGAAAGGAGGAAAAGCTGAGCCCGCCTCTCAGCCTAAATTGCCGTAGGTGCGTGAGCACGGTGACAACCTGGTCACAGCACTGGATTTGGCGGAGGCTGGGAAAACAAGTCCCCTTTTGGAGTAGCAGTTCTGTGTTTCTAATGTTGAATCCGGGCTGGCTAGCAGGTTTGCCAAACCCATCGCTTTCATGCAAGTCAATAATATAGTCAACCAGGGAGAACCATGGTACAGGTAAGAAGGCTTTACCTACAGTGGCGAAACGCCTGGAAGCACTGGGGAAGAGAAGCCACCTGTTTTGAGATGATTTGCTGACAAACCCAGTTGACTTATTTACACTTTGTGACCTTTCATGCGTTACTAATCTGGAAACTGATTGTCCTACAGAAAAACGTGTATGAGATCGACCCAGATGGCTCTAGAAATCGACAAAATCTGGTCGCGTCACTCTTGCCAGTCCCTTCCATTCTGGGATGCCCCGAAGCACAAGCTTCAGATCAGGGTCCCCCCCCCCAGAACCAAGCTGAAAGATCAGAGGGAAAAAGAGTACCGTGGTCTTTGGGTTTACCAGGCCCAAGGAAGCCCAAGCATGTGTCAAGTCCATTTCGGGTAGCCATTGGCATTTCTATGTGGCGAGGGGGAACCGAGCTTTAGGTACTTTCCAAGGGGATCCCATTCTTGGTTCTGGAAGCAGTTTCATATTGGCACATTGTTGTTGTTTTTGTGGGAAAGTCTAGTTGGAACTGTTGGAACTAGCCCTCCCAGGACCTGTCGAACCCAGAAGGCCCCGTTCAGAAGGAAATAAGCCGCAGACCTCCAGACACATTCCACCTCACCTGAGTTGGAATTGCTTTACGCTTTTTGGGGCAGAGACGAAACTGACAAGCGAAAAGTTCCGGGGACTCTGTTGGCCGATCCATTCAACATTGCTTGTGTCCTCTCAAAGCCTGAGACGCAACCAGTCACAAGATGGAATGTTCTTCACTTCCATTTGCTGAAATGAATATCATTTATTTACCCCCCGTTGATTTGTTTGAAGGGAATCTATCACTAGTGGACATATTTGTATTTTTTCCAGGGGACTTAAGCAAGTGGATGATCATCCATAATGTTGACCCAGGATTGAGAAACCCGTCCCAGTATTTGGAGGGTGTTCCCTCCAAAAGTGGTCTGAATCCCCACCAAAAAAGGGGACACCCGATCAAAATCAACCAGGGGTTTCTAAATCCGGGGTTAAGGCCCAGCAAAAAATGAACATATTTACAGTAGTGGTGATTTCCTTTTAAACCCAACAAGGGAAGATTAAAAAACTTGAGCAACCGGAAAGACCATTTCCTTTTAAACCCAACAAGGGAAGATTTAAAAAAAAGATCCCAGTAGTGATAATTTCCTTTTAAGCCCAATTAACAAGGGAAGAACAAATCCTTTTAAACCCAACCAGGGAAGATAAAAATCTGTTTAACACCAGCAAGGGAAGATAAAAACAAAAACAAAAAAAACAGCAAAAAAAAAAGAGCAACTTGAGCCACTGGAAGGGCCTTTTTTGCTCAGAGGACTCGGCCTTCCTGGGCAAGCCCGCGGTGGACGTGCTCTCGTCCCTGGGGCTTCCAACCAGCTGCTTGCTCAAGATCCGGCGGCCCAAGACGCTTGGCGGGGCCCGGTCTCGGCGGGGATTGGACTGAAATGGCCCAAGGGCTTGGACTGGTTTTGTTTGTTTGTTTGTTGGTTTGCTTGCTTGCTTGTTTTGTTTTGTTTTGTTTTGTTTGGTTTTTTTTTTGTTTTGTTTGTTTGTTTGTTTTGTTTGTTTTGAGTGTTTTGAGTGTTTGTGAATTTCTTTCTGGTCCAGGCGGTTCCTTTTCACTGGAGGCTTTTTGTGTAGGATCTGGTGGCCGTCCAAGAGCCTCGGCAAGAAAAGCACCAGGTTTGCAGCAGGCGGGTTGCTTTGCTTCTTCGAGGGCCCAAGCGTTTCTCCTTTAAGGTAAAAAGGGGATTTTTTAAGGGAGCGGGGACATCTTTGAGGGTGTTTCCCAAAACGACCCCTAAAAATGGCTGGATGTGTTGCATTTAAAAGGGGCGACCCAGCAACAGACTCCCTTTTGGCCCGATCTGAAGTTTCCTTTCGATTGGAGAAGCACGTTGGACGTCCCAAAAGTGCAGCAGCCCTGCTAAGAATCCCACTTTGAAACAAAAACGCAAACAAACTGATGGGCTGTTTTTCATTTTTGTCCGGCTTGCCCAGCTCGCCCCCAGAACGGGGAGCCTCCCAACGCCGGCGTCCAACGATGATCGTACCGAGGAATTCCAAGCCGCTTTGGCAGACCTTGGGCGCAACGCAGCCCAGTGAGCACACAGACTCGCAACCCGACGAGTACTCGAAACGTCGGGGGGGGGGGGGGGACGTGGTGTTTTTCTCAGCCCAAAGCGCACCGACCTGCTGTGAATCACGGACCTACAGCCCGCAGTTGGATACTCACCTGATCCGACCTTTTGGCTTCCTGTGTTGGTCCAATTTCGTGAAGGGCACAACAGGTTAACCTTTTCTTTTCCATGTCCTTTTGGGGCAAGGTACGCTGTTCGGGGCTGGTTTAAAGGGAAGCCAAAAAGAAAACACCCATTTTGGGGACTCGGATTTTTTTGAGACAAACCTGCGAGGGGTTCAAAGAAGCCAACACGACGCAACCCATTTGCTAGCTGGTTGAGAAGGGAGCCGCTACGCGAGGCCGCAATCGGAGCCAACAGGAGCTCTGTAGGGGCGTGGTAGTTTCTAGTTTGACACAGACCCGGAGTCTCCAGCTCAAGCAGCATGTGGTATGCCCACGAATTGGTGGGGGGGGGGCTTAGGTGGGTGTTTCTTAGCATGAGACCCCTCAAAATGGTTTATTTGCCTTCAAGCTCTCACCCAAGAAAGGATCCTATTCTATGACCCTTTGGTTTTCTAAGGTCCCACAAGGTTGATTTTGTATTTCCAGTTCCTTTCTGAAGGTCATCAGCCAACCATGCGGCCATAGATTATACAGCCAATGGGTAGATTTCCTGTAGCCTATGGCCCACTTGGGAGGGACAAGGGGGGGGCTCACCAAATTTCTCGCAAAAACTCAAGGGACGCACACATGTCACATGGCCTGGAGAAAAAGCAGTGATTCTGGGCACGGTTCAAACAAAGAAACGACAAGCATGGCTTAAGTGAATGCCTGGTGAAAATGGGAAGAGGCCTTGCTGGGAAGTACCCTAACACCACCCAAATTCCGCCAAGCTTCATTCAATTTCCCCATGAACATTGCAGGACTTATTTTTTCTGGCGGTTTGGTTTCCATGACCTTAGCTTTTTCAATCAAAAGGTGGATTTCTTGCACCTCCACCGATCGGGGGCGGGGGGGAGCGACCGATCAGCACCCTTTTTGAGATGTTGAACCCGAACCTCACCCCATGACCACATGGCTTGAACAAATTGCCATTTGCAGGAAATCTGGAAGTTAGCCCAATCAACCTAAAAGTTGTTGGGTTTGCGAAGTTCCTGCAGAATGTCCTTCAGACGGTTTCTTAGGTTGGAGGTTGGGAGTCGGGAGGCGCCTGTTTGTTCAAGCGCAGGGTGTGACATCCCTGAGCTTGCCTTTGACCTGAAAGCAAAATCCAGAACCCATCGCTTCTGTGCAACGCATGGTGCAGATACCTGGGTTGTAAAGACTCAACCCTTTTTTTGGGATAAGAACATTGGCCCTAAACACCTGGAGGTGGCAAAAAGACAAGTGTCCACACCTCACCTACCCGGTTCCGGCACTTTAGGCTCTTGCCAGTCAACAAGTCCAGGTGGGAACTCGGTCCAAGAGGCTACCCATTTGGTTTGACCACGGAAGCGGGGGAACCTCTTGAGCCAGGCTGAGCCCTTCGCAAGACTCCCCGCGGACCTTGGAGCTGGAGCAGACCTTCAGCGTGCGGTTTCTGAATTTGGACATCGAGGCACCGGCTTTCGCGCGCCGCAAAAAATCCTGCTTTCGCGAAATCCGCGAAGGGAGCCGTTCGCTCCACTTGATGTCTTGAGGACTTTTCTTCACTTCTTGTTCCCAAAAGCATCTCTGATGCTTGGGTTCTGCTTTAGGTTTTCTCTTAAGGTGCCTGGGAGCGATACAAGCTGTGACGACGGAGATAAGAAGCGATTTCCATTTCGTTGTGCTGCAGACCGGGCGTGCAATGCTGGCTGGGGGGACGGCGGTGTGGGGCTGGCTGGGGGCACGGCGGTGTGGTGCAGACTGGGTGCGCGAGGCTGGCTGGAAACTGCCCGCCAGCGAGACTGGCTGGTTGGGGGGACGCAGACGGGGCGTGACTGGAAACCACGCTCGTGACATGCGGAAACCGAGACTGGCGCGGTGGACGCTCGTGACATTCGGAAACCGCCTGCGAGCGAGACTGGCGCAGTGGAGGCTCGTGACATGCGGAAACCGCCCACGAGCGAGACTGGCGCGGTGGACGCTCGTGACATTGCGGAAACCGTCCGCAAGCGAGCGAGACTGGCGCAGTGGACGCTCGTGACATGCGGAAACCGCCCGCGAGCGAGACTGGCGCGGTGGACGCTCGTGACATGCGGAAACCGCCCGCGAGCGAGACGCGGTGGACGCTCGTGACATGCGGAAACCGCCCGCGAGCGAGACTGGCGTGATGGACGCTCGTGACATGCGGAAACCGCCCGCGAGCGAGACTGGCGCGGTGGACGCTCGTGACATGCGGAAACCGCCCGTGGGCGAGACTGGCGCGGTGGACGCTTGTGACATGCCGAAACCGCCCGCGAGCGAGACTGGCGCGGTGGACGCTCGTGACATGCGGAAACCGCCCGTGAGCGAGCCTGCGCGGTGGTCGTGACATGCGGAAGCCGCCCGCGAGCGAGACTGGCGCGGTGGACGCTCGTGACATGCGGAAACCGCCCGCGAGCAAGACTGGCGCGGTGGACGCTCGTGACATGCGGAAACCGCCCGCGAGCGAGACTGGCGCGGTGGACGCTCGTGACATGCGAAAAACCGCCCGCGAGCGAGACTGGCGCGGTGGACGCTCGTGACATGCGGAAACCGCCCCCGAGCGAGACTGGCGCGGGGGAGGCTCGTGACATGCGGAAACCGCCCGCGAGCGAGACTGGTGCGGCGGGCGCTCGTGACATGCGGAAACCGCCCGCGAGCGAAACTGGCGCGGTGGACGCTCGTGACATGCGGAAACCGCTCGCGAGCGAGACTGTCGGGGCGCTCGTGACATGCGGAAACCGCTCGCGAGCGAGACTGGCGCGGTGGACGCTCGTGACAGGCGGAAACCGCCCGCGAGCAAGACTGGCGCGGTGCACGCTCGTGACATGCGGAAACCGCCCGCGAGCGAGACTGGCGTGGTGGACGCTCGTGACATGGGGAAACCGCCCGCGAGCGAGACTGGCGCGGTGGACATGCGGAAGCCGCCCGCGAGCCAGACTGGCGGGACGCTCGTGACATTGCGGAAACCGTCCGCAAGCGAGCGAGACTGGCGCAGTGGACGCTCGTGACATGCGGAAACCGCCCGCGAGCGAGGCTGGCGCGGTGGACGCTCGTGACATGCGGAAACCGCCCGCGAGCGAGACTGGCGTGATGGACGCTCGTGACATGCGGAAACCGCCCGCGAGCGAGACTGGCGCGGTGGAGGCTCGTGACATGCGGAAACTGCCCGTGGGCGAGACTGGCGCGGTGGACGCTCGTGACATGCCGAAACCGCCCGCGAGCGACACTGGCGCGGTGGACGCTCGTGACATGCGGAAACCGCCGCCGCGAGCGAGACTGGCGCGGTGGACGCTCGTGACATGCGGAAACCGTCCGCGAGCGAGACTGGCGCGATGAACGCTCGTGACATGCGGAAACCGCCCGCGAGCGAGACTGGCGCGGCGGGCGCTCGTGACATGCGGAAACCGCCCGCAAGCGAGACTGGCGCGGGGGACGCTCGTGACATGCAGAAACCGCCCGCGAGCGAGACTGGCGCGGTGAACGCTCGTGACATGCGGAAACCGCCCGCGAGCGAGACTGGCGCGGTGGACGCTCGTGACATGCGGAAACCGCCCGCGAGCGAGACTGGCGCGGTCGTGACAGGCGGAAACCGCCCGCAAGCGAGACTGGCGCGATAGACGCTCGTGACAGGCGGAACCCGCCCGCGAGCGAGACTGGCGCGGTGGACGCTCGTGACAGGCGGGAACCGCCCGCGAGCGAGACTGGCGCGGTGGACGCCCGCAAGCGAGACTGGCGCGGTGGACGCTCGTGACACGCGGAAACCGCCCGCGAGCGAGACTGGCGCGGTGGACGCTCGTGACATGCGGAAACCGCCTGCGAGCGAGACTGGCGCGGTGGACGCTCGTGACATGCGGAAAACGCCCGCAAGCGAGACTGGCGCGGTGGACGCTTGTGACATGCGTTTAAACCGCCTGCGAGCGAGACTGGCGCGGTGGACGCTCGTGACATGCGGAAACCGCCCGCAAGTGAGGGAGACTGGCGCGGTGGACGCTCGTGACCTGCGGAAACCGCCCGCGAGCGAGACTGGCGCGGTGGACGCAAGTCTGGCGTGATGGACACTCGTGACATGCGGAAACCGCCCGCAAGCGAGACCGGCGCGGTGGAGGCTCGTGACATGCGGAAACCGCCCGTGGGCGAGACTGGCGCGGTGGACGCTCGTGACACGCGGAAACCGCCCGCGAGCGAGACTGGCGCGGTGGACGCTCGTGACATGCGGAAACCGCCCGTGAGAGAGACTATGCGGAAGCCGCCCGCGAGCGAGACTGGCGCAGTGGACACCCGTGGCATGCGGAAACCGCCCGCGAGCGACACTGGCGCGGTGGACGCTCGTGACATGCGGAAACCGCCCGCGAGCGAGACTGGCGAGGTGGACGCTCGTGACATGCGGAAAACGCCCGCGAGCGAGACTGGCGCGGTGGACGCTTGTGACATGCGGAAACCGCCCCCGAGCGAGACTGGCGCGGGGGAGGCTTGTGACATGCGGAAACCGCCCGCGAGCGAGACTGGCGCGGTGGACGCTCGTGACAGGCGGAACCCGCCCGCGAGCGAGACTGTCGCGGTGGACGCTCGTGACAGGCGGAAACCGCCCGCGAGCAAGACTGGCGCGGTGGACGCTTGTGACAGGCGGAAACCGCCCGCGAGCGAGACTGGCGCGGTGGATGCTCGTGACATGCGGAAACCGCCCGCGAGCAGACTGGCGCGGCGGACGCTCGTGACATGCGGGAACCGCCCGCGAGCGAGACTGGCGCGGTGGACGCTCGTGACATGCGGAAACCGCCTGCGACCAAGACTGGCGCGGCGGACGCTCGTGACATGCGGAAACCGTTCGCGAGCAAGACGGGCGCGGCGGACGCTCGTGACATGCGGAAACCGCCCGCGAGCGAGACTGGCGCGGTGGAGGCTCGTGACATGCGGAAACCGCCCGCGAGCGAGACTGGCACGGTGGACGCTCGTGACATGCGGAAAACGCCCGCGAGGCGGAAATCGCCCGCGAGCAAGACTGGTGGAGGCTCGTGACATGCGGAAACCGCCCGCGAGCGAGACTGGCGCGGTGGACGCTCGTGACATGCGGAAACCGCCCGCGAGCGAGACATGCGGAAACCGCCCGCGAGCGAGACTGGCGCGGGGGACGCTCGTGACATGCGGAAACCGCCCGCGAGCGAGACTGGCGCGGTGGACGCTCGTGACATGCCGGCAAGCGAGACTGGCGCGGTGGACGCTCATGACATGCGGCAGCCGCCACGTGCGCGGCTCCATGTGAACAGCCCGGCGCTCCAAGTACGCCATAATTGTCCTTTTTGTGCGCTGACCCGAACAAACGGTGCCAATGTGTTTCTAGGACGAACCCTCTCTTCAGAAGCTGTGGCCTCTTGGGGTTCGCCCTACTTATTTGGAAGCAGCCTGGAAGCACGTTGACATGAATATGCTGAGCACACTCGGCCCAAACAAAAGGGCGCATGAACATCCGAACAGCTGACCCCGCTCTACACAGATCGTGGTAGCACTGTGTCTCAGACTTGTTTCAGACAGGCGTCAGACCCACCAAGTGACCGAGGCTTGTCCACACCGAGCCCCCCGCAAAAGCGCAGCGCCGGCCCCGTCTCCACACACCTGCGCGAATCCACCCAACTTGCCACCCACACGCATCCAATTGACAACGTGCGCGGCCCTTTCCACAAAGTCACCAGTTGCAATTGGTTGCGAATGGGAAAATAGGTGGAGAAACTAACGAATCCAAGCAAGCTTACGAAGCAAGTTTGTGAAGGCCACGTGCACGGCTCCATGTGAACAGCCCGGCGTTCCAGGTGCGCCAAGATTGTCCTTTTTGCCGCACACCTGACCCGAACAAATGGCGCCAATGTGTTTCTAGGACAAACCCTCTCTTCAGAGTCTGTGGCCTCTTGGGGTTCGCCCTACTTATTTGGAAGCAGCCTGGAAGCACGTTGACATGAATATGCTGAGCACACTCGGCCCAAACAAAAGGGCGCATGAACATCCGAACAGCTGACCCCGGTCTACTCAGATCGTGTTGTAACACTGTGTCTCAGACTTGCTTCAGATGGGTGTAGAGCGAGCTTATGCCTTGCTTCCAATTTGAGAGTGGTAGTTTGTGCGGATCCATTTTCGGATTTCTGCGATTGGTTCTTCATGATGAATCGGATGACTTCGTGCCTTCCATGTAGTGCGGGGCCTGTCATGTTTCACCCGTGCCTTTGCCTTTTTCTCTGTGCTTGGTCAGAGCACAGGCTGCTGGCTGCCAATCCGGCTTGAGTCGCGGTTGCTCCCCTTCTTCATCTGTTTTGGGGTTGATTTCCCAACTGTGAACAACTTAAATCTTGGTTTGCCTTCGGAGCCTTGAGCCGGAAAACAACGGGATCCACATGCCATGGGGAGTGAGGCTGGTTTGCTTTTGGGTTCCCGGCTCCTCTTGTTTTTTGTTGGGGGGGGAGAGGCGGGCAGTTGGACCATGTTGGGGCCGAATGCCCGAGGGAGTTTCTGACTTTAATCACTCTTTCGGGTTGGACCACATTCGTGGCAAAAGATTTGCCTACTTGTTTGGCCGATCCACTCGATCGCAAGTGAGTCTCCCTGAAAGGTCTGCCACTAGGCCCAGCCCAAATCATGATTATGCCGTTGTGCCTGATTGGGATTGGGAGGCTTTTGGATGGACCTTGACAACCAAAGCACAGGAAGCACAGGAAGCACATGGTTGCCTTTTCTATCTACCCTTTTCCCCTTTTGGCGTCCCAGCAGTCCCCAAGAAGACATCCTACAGTTGTCCAGGTGCTGTTGCGTCATGGCTCAACAGCCCGCTAGCCGCCGCCCCTTTCGCAGGTCCGAGCCGTGAACAATGGGAAATCAGAGGGTGTCCTCCTTTCTTGCTGGTTCTCAGGGACTGAGGGAATGATGCTATAGCCCCGAAGCAGGCTCAAAATAAAGTAGGGGTGGGTCGGACCCGAAAATAAGTCGTGTATTTTATTTTAGTCCACCCCTGTTTTTGATGCGAAATCATTTTGGCCTCTCTGAAAATCCCTTCAAAGTTGGACTGAACTCATTTCAAAGTAACATGAGTTGGACTCCCCTCGACTACATTTTAATAGGAAATAAAATAAAATACGTTTTGTCCAACTCGGACTATTCAAACCAACCCCCAACATGAGGTCAAAATAAATCGTGTTTTTTCAATTTTATTTGCTGTCAGTGTTGGACTATTTCATTTTATTTTCCAACAAGGTTGGACTGACCCTATTTTATCAGATAAAATGGGGGGGGGTCCAACCCTGTTTGGAACCTCTAACGGGGATATGCTATGAACCATCCACCATGGCTTCCTTTAAGGGAACCCCCCAAAACCGGTTCAATGCCTGCCCATCGCACCAGCAAGTTCTCGGAGGCGAACAGCGGGGAGGAGGGAGATATTGTGGAGATCCAGCCGGTGGGCGAGAACGCGGCTGAGCAATACCATTGGCGCTCTTTCAGGTCCACTTGGTTAAGGAAACGGACGAAGCGAACGGAAAAGCAGGCATAAACCAACCTGCAAAGAACAGGGTCATTCCCCAAAACAGTGGGGTGGACCCATTTTGGAAGGGTCACGGAGACTCCAGGATGACATGGACAGATCACACCATCTAAGCCACACCTCGGCCTCACTTTGGAGCAAGCTGCGAGTCTTTACTTGCTTGGAATAATGATTTTCCCATTTTCCCCTGTGGGTTTTACAGGGGATCTATCGCTGGACATATGCCAGGGGCGTTAAGCAAATTGAAGTTTAGCAGGATATATGTTGAGGGTCAAGCCCAGCACACCCGAATGGTTTGCAAGACTTGATGCAATGTCCATGACTAAGATAAGACTGGGTGCTGCATGGAAGCGGTTCCCAAAATTACTTTGGGAGAGGGTGCCTGCACACCACCAAAAGGCTAGGATTGCAACTCCTCTCCGGTCCAGATGGATTTGTCTCAAAATCGGGTTAGCCCTCCAAAATGAAGGTTGTCCTTTTGGTTTTGATTGAAACCAAGGTAAAAAGAGCACCTCGCAAACAAGACTCATTCATATTTTTGGGAGGTCTCATTGCTGTTTGTGGGTTTCGCTTGGCAGGCGAACTTTTTCTTGGCCGATCGGGACACCCCCCCCAAAAAAAAATAATAATAAAAAAAGGATAGAAACACAACAACAAGAACAGAGATGAGATGCAAGAAAGACGGAGCAACTTTAGAGATGTTGGCTTGGAGGCTGTTGGCTGGAAGGGCTGATAAGGTTGGAAGGCTCTCCTCGCGCTGTTTAAATTGTAGCCCGCTTCTCCCCTTGTAGCCTTCAGGACAAATCCCACCATCCATGCCACCGACCGGACACCTGAGTGCTAAAGAACCCCATAGCTCTCCCCATTTTTGTCCGTGCCCTCATTTAACACTCAGCAACCAAAGGTTGCCTTGTGGGACAAGAAACGGACTGTGGGAACTGGCTCCAAGTGCCCTATCCTCAGCCAAGTCGCCCAAGTGGGATTTGTCCTACATGTAAATACCACTTGGCGACTTCTTAAGGAATGCAAACCACTTCTTGAGTAGTCTTGGTGAAAAAGCTGGGCAACATTCTAACGAGCCCACCTGGGCAGAACGAGGACCCGTGATGAACGTCCTTTACCAGGTTGGGGAGGCTCTCGCTTTTCCGGCTTAGGAATTACAGCAATTTGCCCAGAAAGGATCAGACATCAAAGCCCCTAAACGAGATGGTCTTGTCCATCTTGGGCGGATACGAAACTGCAGGGAAAACCCAAAGCACTGGACAGCTGGGACCCTTCAACAAACCACCCTTTAAATCCAAAACAACAGCTCCATGGACTTTCGCCATTTCTTGGGAAGTCCATTTTAGTGGCAAACAGAAAGTTCGTACACCTTTTTGTCGGCCGAGTCCACTCAGGAAGTGAGTTCCTGTGTTTCCCCTTTAAGACAACACCAAAATAGAGTCCTCCAAGTGCCGGCCCAAGGAGCGGGTCCAGAACGGAGACCTCCTCTTGCTGTCGCTGCCCAGGGACCGTGTGGTAGATATCATCTCCAAGCAGGACGTCGGAAACCGTGAAGACGCCGAGGGGTGGCATCTTTTGGTAGACGGAAACCGCGAAAACCCTGAAGACGTCAACGCGAAAATGCGATGAGGATCGGAATTTTGGTAGAAGGCAAGGGCTGCTGGATGGTTTTTACTGAAGAAACCAAAAAGGATCCGCTCATTTCGGTGGGTCACCTTAATCAAGACACATCCATGGTGGATGCTCCTGCCATATTGCAAGTAAGGGGGCAAGGAAGCCAAGTCACGAATTCCCCGCTCTTCACCCTTTTGTGGTTGGGTATGGTTGGTATACCTGCAATGCCTACTTGGGCTCTCGAAATGGGGGGCCTCCCCAAATTGGTGAGTCGGAGGATTGAAAGCGCCTAGACCTCCAGACTCCGTGGGTTGCTTCCTTTTCTCAACTTTGGTTTGGACGGGTTCTATCAAAGAGGGTTCTTTTTTTCCATGGTCACTGAGGGTCTGGGATACGGTGGACGCCCAGAATATTGCAAGGGATACGGTGGACGCCCGGACGCCCTGTAAATTCCCATTTGCGGGCATCCACCATACCTTTGTTTCGTTGGTATGATAATCTTACTGGTATACAGACAAGAAGTGGGCTTATGTGGGCTTGTTTGACCAATGTACTCAGGGAGTCAGTAAGGCTTTTGATCCCCAATCCTTGGGACGGGTTCTTTCATGGGGGGGGTGTCCAGTAACATCTAAATCCCATGTGGTTGGTTGGGTGTGGGATCCACTTGAAACAGAAACCACCCAACAACAAAGCGAAAGCCATTTCGCACTACCTAAGAAACCCTGGAATGCCTTTCCGGCATTGCTTCTTGGGTGGTGCAGGATTTCGTCCATCCACGGTAGGTCCCCTTTTTCTGAGTCTACCGAACGGGTCAACCGAGCGGATTGCCTCACTCCATGCGTGCATCATGCCCAAGTTTGAGTCCACTTGGGGGCACCAAATGATGAAACCCTCTGACCTGTTCAGAGTCCCGCTTTCTGAACTGGCTCGGCGTACTCCAAATTTGGGATCCCCAGTTGGTTGTTTGGGGTGCCTTTAGCGGCAGGCCTGCCACCTGCTTCAGCAAAGCCACACCGAGTGCTAAACAGCCCACAATTGTTCATTCGTCCAAAGGGAAACCAACAGGGGGGGTGCACAAAAGTAGATGGCATCATTCCCCCATGGCTTTTCTCATCCCCGCTTGCCCGAAGGAAGTTGTGCCATGGACTTTCACGCTTGTGTAAGGGTCGCATTCGAGCCCCCTATTTAGCTCCAGCCTGCCCTTGTTTGACAGCCAGGAGCCAGGAGATTTTTTCTGTATTAACCTTACAGGGATTTTACCCATAGCATGTGGGTTGGTTCTTTTGCGTTCACCTCAAGCCATTTGTTGCACGCGTCTTATCCAGACGGATGGGGCGGTCGCAACGCGCTTTTTTTTCCCGCGGCGCGTCGAGGAGCGCGGCATCCGAGTGCGGTCCATGCACGCCAGCCAGGCCGAAGGGTTTCAAATCGAAGGCCCGTGGGCTCATGAAGAAGTACAATGAAACAACCAAAAAAGGGGAAGGGGCCCAGTGAAAAAGCGAAAATCGCGACCACTATGGGTTTCTACCAACTAAAGCAGTTTGAGTCTTCCAGAAATCACCCAAAACATGGGCTGCCGAAGGGTTTCAAGTCGAACCCCCCCCCCCCACCAGGGGTTTTGACGAAAAGCGGAGCCCCCCCAAACCGTAAAAAGGTTTCCAGATGGTGTCCCAAAAAGACCGCAGAAAGGGTGCACTCAAAGAAAACGCACACCCTTGTCTTTGCAGCCACCCTAGGCTAGCTTCCCAGAAGCCACACCTAAAACGGGGAATGGATTAGCCAACTCGGGTGCATAAGGGGCCAGCCAGGGGCTCTCATATGGATTCATATCTTCAGCCTTTAAAGTAAAGCCGTGTCTTGTTCATCTTGTTTGGTTGTTGCCGTTCTTCTCGGTCGTTTGAGTAGGTGACGGCTTCATTCAGCCTTGGCTTGGGCTTCCGTTGGATTCGTTCCTTCCGCCTTTGACTCCAGTGAAGCCATTTGTCCCCGCCCTTTTTCCCTTTTCTTCAGATTCTTCCTTCTTCCTCATCTTCGCATATTTGTTCCCCTTCAAAACAAAAGCACCGTCACGCCTTCCAAACCCAGCCGAGGTTTTTTCCGCGGGTTTTTCCCCTCCAACAAGCGCCGCCCGGCGTCGGATCGAGCCGAGCGCGCGCCGAGGCGGTGTCCGAGAAGTCGGAGTTCGTGGAGCTGGTGATCAGCGCCAACTCGACCTTGGTGGGGCAGCCCGTGTGTGCCTTGGCGAACGACTGGTGACTGGTCGGCGTGCGGAAGGATGTTCTTGGGAAACGGGGTGGGTTGTAACAGACTTTGGGGTTCCTTGGGTTTGGCTTACCATGGTCATGACATTCTTCCACGAAGTAGGTTATGACCAATGTTATGACTGGAATACTAGCAACTTGGCTTGGCCTACTGTCGTAATTTGGCTTACTGGTCATCACATGCTTGGGGCTTTTGTGACGTTTGGGCCCCCTGATCCACAGGAGTCTTGGTCCAATTGGCCAAAGGTTGAAGGGTTTGACCTCACTTCCCGACTGAAAGGAGTCGATTTCCATATCCAAAAGGTCCTGCTGGATTGGTTTTACCTCCCTTTGTGAGACCCCTTTCTCCGAGCCGTGCATGCGGAAGCCGTGCTGCGTAGGTTTGATAAACATATTCCTGCTTGCTTTGGGGTTGATTTGGGGTTCGGGACATGGGGGACGAGCTCCAAACGCAACACAAACAGCCAGGCGACGGAGCCCGAGTTTTGCCACGTAATGTTTGACCATGGCTCGGACGTTAGATCTCCGGATTGGAGTCTGGCTCCATGCCAGGAGGAAAACAGTTTTCAGATTTCAAAGAGTTGGCCTACGAGCCCCTTGGGTCCAAGTGCAGTTCGGAGAAAGTGGTGCCTAAGGGAGCCAAATTGTGGGGGCATTCGTGGGGCTGACTGGATGCCCTTGGAATTCTCACTTATCCAAAGCCGGCAGTGGACCTTTTGACCTTTTGACAACTGTTGTTCTTGGTGTGGTTTTCCATACTTCGACGTTCCAAAAGGCGATCCCCTTGTGGTTCCAGGTCCTTTGGTTGGAGGTGAGAATCCCTTTCTGTTTTAATGGAATCGAACCCAGCAAGGGTTCCGCATTTCTACCATTGGGCGAGCGAACAGCCGGTGCCATTACATGACTTGGGAAGGAAACTTGACAACTCGCATGATGGGGGTCCCCGATGTTTGTTACGATTCTTGCATGGACGAACTCCCGCACTTTGAAACCATACTTACAGTCATCATTCCGTTGGCCACGATGGGATTGGAATCAGTTGCTCAGCGAGGCCGCTGCAGAAGTATCACAGCGCTTGGCAATCCAACCACGGTATTTTCCGGGATTGGTGACGCCAAGTAGCGGCTTGGGGGATTGATTGAAGATGCTCTTCTAGTGGGGTAATGGGATGTAATGGGATGTAAGGGGATGTAAGGGGATGTAAGGGGATGTAAGGGGATGTAAGTGGATGTAAGTGGATGTAAGGGGATGTAAGGGGATGTAAGGGGATGTAAGAGCATGTAAGGGGATGTAGGGGGACGTAAGGGGATGTAAGGGGATGTAAGGGGAAAGTAAATGCAATGGCTAGTCTCCAAACCAATCCTATGCGTTGCAACCGACAGTTGGGGCGCCTGTTTTCCCGCTTGCCTCTTGCACGGGACACCCGAGTACTTAAGGAGACCTCCAACCCCCGGTCCCCAAACCATCCAGGCCAAGCTGACCAGGGAACACTGGGATTTCGCCTACACCTCGACTACTTCAGGGACTTGCCTGGGGATGCTTCCCCTCTGGCAGCAATGGATTCGCCCAGGCAACGCCCCGAACCTGGTGGCGGACACCTACAACGCCGGGCTCATCGCAGTGCGGTCCCGGTACTGGGGTACTGCCTTCGCAACGGCACAGGCGCGGGTCCCCAGCAGAGATCGGACGGTCGAACGGTAGGCGCTCACGGAGTCAGAGCCAGGGGATCCCTTGGCCGGTTCAAACCTCACTTGCGTAGCTCGTCTTTTTTAAGGAGCCCCCGTCCTCCCCAAATTGGGCGGGACCAGCTCGAGTTCTCGTGATATTCAAAGGGTAAAGTAGGGGGAGCCCTGCCATAGGGTGCTTAGTCTGGGTCAGGTTTGGGGCCTGATAACCTTTCACAAAGGTCGTAACAAAAACTTCGCCAAGCCGCCGCCCTGGCGCAATAGGTGTCTTTTTTTGCTGAGTTTGGTGAAGAATAGATGGGCACTGGCTGAGATGGGTTTTATGTGTGTTTTTGCTTCCCCTTGGGCCAGCGGTCAGCCAAAGCCTTGGCCAAGCCGTCCGCTTTTTTTCTCCGCCGGCGCCGTTCCCTCGGCGAGGCGGAGGAGTCCCCGAGCCCCTTCCACCGGGGCAAGGCCCACTTCATGGCGGGCGACGTGATCCTCGTCTTGGCGCCCGTGGGCCGCCTGCCGCGGAATTTTCAGCGCAGAGGGGTTGGATTCGATGGGCTCGCGGAGGAAATGGGCGAGGTGTTGGTTAGTGGAAATTCGGGGGGTGGGGGGGGGGGGGGGTTGGGGGTTCCTCAATTTTCCCTTACTGGCAGAAAGTCGACTTTGGCAGGGCATAAGTCTGGTGTAGTTTGTGCCAGTTGTACTCTTGTGCCAGTTGTTTTGTTTTTTACGGAAGGGCAGGGGAGACATTCCAACCGCCGGGGTTCCTTTTGAACCCATCCTTTTATGTCCACCCCAGTTGTATGGGGGTTGGCTGTAAGGGAATTAGATGATTGGGGAAGGTTTGCAGGAGATTTGCTTCGAAAGAACCTCAGACAAGTGACCCGGCCTGCTATTGCAACCCCTATGGCTCACCAACCGAGGAACAGGGAAGGGATCAACGCAACAAGCCTACGTTTTGTTCCCGAGTGGTCGATGCGTTCTCTCCCGATATGTATGGATGAAACTATTGGTAACATCTTGCATCTTCACCTTTGACTAAACTGATGATGGCACACACAAGTAGTTAAAATCCTTGGTATAGGCTTGATCATGGACCAAGGTTTGGTACATGCGGTATTCGCCATGGACGCCAGCTTTTTTGCGCCCAAACAACAAGGCAACTTTGTTGGGTGCTCGTTTTTGTTTTTTCTTTCCGGCTCGGAACACGGATTTTCCTTCAGCTCACCGAGGGCACGCCTGGCGCTTTGTTGGCTGTTCTCGCGAGCCAACTAGGTTTTCCAGTGGTGCCCTCTTACCCTTTGTTGGGGGAGGGTTCCCCTACTAAAATAGACTACAGAAAGAAGAGTACCAACTTATTCCAACCTCTCTACTGGAGGACCTAGTCAAAGCGAGGCCACGAGTACCCCAAGTCCCACTTCTTTCTGGTGACGCACCTGGGCTCGCCGCCCAAAGCCACGACCTTCTATGACTTGCGCCTGGGACATGCCATAAGGGGACGGAAGGGGGTGGAAGGGGGGTCTCACCCCTTTTATACAGCCTGGCCTTGGGCTCACCAAGCGCATCGACTAGATCTATGCTTTTAGTTTCCGTTGGTTCACTAGTCAAGGGCCCAAAACTTAGCTAAAACCATGCCTGTTTTGGGTAAGGCAGCCGAAGGAAAGCAACCATACCCGTCCCGTAAAGGAAAAAAAACTGTCCGATTCCAACCTTTTCAAATATTGGTGTTCCCCTTTTGGTCCGTGTTTGGTCATGACCCCAAAAAGTTAGCCTTTTCTTTCCAGGTCCCCAAAAAGGTTAACCTTTTTTTTCAGGTCCTTTGGGCAACTGAGGAAATGACCACTGTCAAACTTTTGCTTTTGAATGCCCCGAACTTAAAGCAAGTTAAGCAAACATGTCCCATCCAATACCTTGATTTTGTACTTAATATTTTAAGATTGACAATCGAACAACAGGCATGCGAGAGCACCTGACCCATCAATGTGTTCATTGGTCAAAACTGCATTGACCATGTCATGGTCGTCACATGTTGGTGATTGTCAACCGCAGGAATGGCCAAAACGGCCAATGGTCAGGTAGCCCTTGCCGGGTTCAAAAATAAACCCCTTTAGCAAGGGGCTGAAATGGAAGCTACTTCTGCCACGGCTTCGTTGGGGATATGGTTTCGCCTAAGGAACGGTCAGAACACTTCCAGAAGCCTCTACAGTGGGCAAATACATCCAAGGATCCCAATCTTCCTCTTCGTGCCCGCTCTGGTGGTCACAGGCATGAACTACGCGCCTCGCTGGCGGTTTTTTTTTGGCCTTGAGCCCTGAGTTGTGCATCGGTCAGGTGTGGAGATAGCAGTCAGTGCTGGCCTAATCTAATCTAGTCTCTTTGGTGCATACAGTGGTCCTAGCATGTTCTTTTTTGGTTGGGTGAAGCATCACCTGTTGGTGTCCAACTCAAAGTGAGATTATCTTCAGTTGGGAGATGTTTCATGGGCGCATGCCAGAAATCCCCTGGCATATCCTCCACATCTGCAACCAATTGCAAATCATCAGCTAGTTTGTTTGCTATGTTCTTCCCTACTCCCCATTGGCCCATTTGAATCTGAGTATTTGTGTGTCATATGTGGCATAAGCAAAGAACCTTTCTTTACTTGTGGATCCCTTTCAGGCAGGTCTTGGGCTTTCCTGGGTCCTGTGGCCCCTTGGGGTTCAGATGGCGGACAGGCCTCTATTGTTTATTTTAGTCGCTGATTTGCTTTGCGTGATCCCGGATCTCGAAGGAAACCCCACCCAGCACCCAAAGGACCGCAACTGTTTGTCCCAAAAAAGCAGTGAGGGAAACTGGCAGAACATTCCTTACTCGAAACCATCCAGAGGAGACAATCGCCCACCCAGATGGATGGCTTGTCCTACAGGCCAAAGTCCGAATCGATTTTACATCTTGAGGAAGCATGAAACAGAATCAAACAAATATCATTCTCCGTGCAGGTGGCATGTCCGTTTTCCTCGCAGGTGTGGTGGCTTAGATTTTGGAGGCTTTCTTTGGAGGCCTTGACGCCTGAAGCTGAATCGTGCTTTTGCCTTGCAGGTGTGGGAACAGACATGGCCATGGGTCAAAAGCCCGTACCCCCAGTAAACATCCCAATCCCCACTAAAATAGGTCCTAAAATGGTGGTGCACCTACCCCAAAATGGGATCCCATAACGGTTTGACAACCACAGCCACATTTATTTGGAGGCGTAGGCTTTGACGCCCAGGTGAGTATGACCCAAATCGCGGTGACGCTGTCCACAGTCTTCATCCTCGGGGGCTGGGTGAAGGCAGCAGAGCTGAGGACCGGGAGAAAAAGGGATCGAAAGCTCCAAGCTCAAGGAGAAAGCTGTCTTTACTGCTATTGGGTTAGATCTTTAGACTTTAACTTTTTGGGAAAGCAAGGCGCTTTTCACTAAACCCCCCAACAGTTAAACTTTTTGCAGGGGGTTCAACAGCAACCAAGTGTCTTGTAAACGACCCCAAAATGGATTTCGGCGTTCTGTTTAAGGTTTTCCTTTTGGGGTACCCCACAAGGAGTGTCTGTTTAAAAACTCCAGACTCAACGCATCCTACCGTGATGTCGGCGGTTGCTGGCTTATGTACCTGGAGTCTCCATGACCCTTTAAAACTGGGTCCATGACCCCCTTTATTTTGGGTAACGACCCCATTTTTCAGGGTCATGGAGACTCCAAGTACATAATTGCAATGACATGTTGAATCTCATGGAACAAGGGGTCCAAGGGGAAAACAAAAAGCCTTTGACCTCGGCCTACGTCACTTTGAGACACAAAGCTGGGGGGTTCTTGTGCAGACACTGCGCTTGTAACTCCACGAAATTCACGTGGAGAACTTTATGGCTAGTTGGTTGGATCGTTGGACTTTAACTTTTTGGGAAGCTGTGGATTTTCCAATGGACCAAAAGGTAAACTTTAAATGATTTGAATGCATTTCGACGACTCCTTTTGCTTTTCGTTTTGGGGTACCCTACAAGACACCCTTCCTATGGTCCCAAAAGGTTGCAAAGCCCCAAAAGGCAATCCCGATGCCCAGTTTAGCAACTAAGGCCTTCTAGCCATACTGTAGACGGACGAGGTCCATTTCGCACCACGAAATGAAACCACGGTTGAAACCACATTCATTGTTGATATTTGCGTTGGGGAATCGAATCATTCCCTTGGGTTTCTGAGTTCGGTGGTGCGATTTCTGGATTTCGCAACCATCCATCGCAGGGTTCCTTTCGGATGCCTTGTTTTTGCTGGTCTTTGCTAGGCCAAAGCGACAACCATGAGACACACTGGTTCAGCCTGGATACGTGAGGTCTCTAACTTATCAAGGCTTTGTGGTTTGGCAATGGTTGGTTTAAAACATCCTCCGCATCACCTGACCCATCAGATTTACCCTACCCAGGGATTGGGCACTTCACAAGGGATATCAACGGAAGCAAGAACCCTCCAAAAGCTGACAACCGCCAATCCAAACCACCAATTAGGGAGAAGCTGAGCTGAGTGGAAGCATCCAGCGTACCAACGTCCCCATGGGACTTTATAACGAATCTATCAAGAATGGACATAGGTTCTCATTTTTCCAGGGGACGAACAATGCACATGGAGGTACCTCACCAGGAGTATGGGTGGGCAGGTACCCCAACGCCACTACCCTCCAGTGAGCATTGTTATGTAACCTTTATACTGTTGCTTGTTTTGGGAGTGGATCAGGGATATGTTTGTAGAAGAACCTCCAACATGAGTGCTTTTAGTTTTTGGCTTCCCTTTAAAAGAACCCAAAAGGGGTTTCAACTCCACAAAGAAGACGAGCCACCCAGACTGTGGATGGACACCAGCCATCCACAATAGTTCCTTTCTTCCAATTGGGGGGAGGCGTGAAGTGGGCTTTTGGAACCATAGGTGGCTTTTTTGTCGGTTAGTTTAGTCAAAATCAACAGAAAAAGACGAGCCACCCCCCCCCCCAAAAAAAAAATATGAAGAAGAGTGGTTTTCTTTTTTGACTTCCCAAACGGAAACACCCCAACAAGGGGAGGGCGTACCAACTCCAAAGACGAGCCATATCCCTGAGGAGCATCGTGGACTGGCAGCTGCTGATTTTGATCGGCGCCTCCTTGGGGGTGGCCTCCGCCATGTCCTCCTCCGGCCTCGCCGCGGGCATCTCGCGGGGGATTCTGGGCGCCGGCGTGCCCACGCCGGGCGCCCCGGGATTTCTTTTTTTTTCTTGTTGGTTTTTCCTTTTTTTTCTCTGTTCTTTTTGTTGCTTGTTTTTTGCTCTTGTGTTTTGTTTTTGGCTCCGGGGAGAAGCGGTTCTTTCACCGCACCAAGGCGAATCCACAGGAAGCCAAAAAGGCTGCCTTGGGTCAGAGGCGAAGAAAAAATGGTTCGGACTCCGGGCCCAAAAGTTTTCGGTTGGGTTCTTTACCGCACCAAGGCGAAGGAATGCAGCGGCAACCTTTTGGCTTCCTTTTGTCCATAGAGGTTCCGAAAGGTTGCTTGCAACTTTGGATGGTTGGACTTGCGCCTCTTTACCTCAACCAAAGCGAACCAGCGAATTTTCGGTGGAGTGGTTCTTTACCTCAACCAAAGCGAATTCACCCGGATGATGTCCTTGATTTGGTCCATAGAGGCGAACCCCCCCTCAGAAATACGGTGTCGCGAAATCCGGAAATCGCACCGAGGAGAAACCCGATATGACTCCCCAACGTAAATACCAACAAATGCGATGGCTCCAGCCATGGTTTCATTTCGCGGTACGAAATGGTTTGCCTCCATCCACAGTGGCTGGCACGAATGCGCGAATGTTTGTTGAAGTAGTTTTTTACCTCAACCAGAGCGTTGCCTTGATTTGGGCCATATGTAGAGGTATTTCCACTTCCCAAGTGAGTTACTGTTCTTCCCCAACAGCTGTTCTTCCCAAATAGGCTCGGGGTGGTGCGGTGCGGGCCTGAGGTAAGGTTCCACGAGTTCCACCAGGCTTCCATGAGGGTTCCACGTGGTTTTGCGAGGGCTGCGGGGTGGTGCGAGCACTTACGCATGCTGTTGGGGATGTCACCTGAGCTGTTTTTTTTCTGGGAAGGGCCTCTAAAATAAATCCACAAGGCGCACTGTGTTCGCCATCGGTTTTTTGGGAAACATGGCTGTTACCCGGGCCCTCAAACTACCCTTCAAGAAAAGAAGGATTCACCCACCAATTTGGCAGAAACCCATTCTTAAGTTGGAATTTCGAGGATCCAGGTACCCCTTAACGGGTTTCCCCGCGCCGGTTTTCCCGTATCGAACATCGGAGGTGGTTGGTGCCCGGCTTCCTGTACCTCATCATCATGGCGCTTCGGTCCTCGTCAAGCCCCCCCCCCCCCCGACATCGGAAGCCGGAAGCCAAGGGGTTCTGATCGGAAACCAAGACCAAAGAAGCCGCCAAAGGACGAGCATGCGTGTTTCTTGTTTTCGTCCGAACGATTTCGGAGCCAAAATTTGGGGTTTCGCTTTTTGGTAGGGAAATGATCTATCTTGGAGGGGGGGTCCCTGACTGGTCAATATTAGTCAGGGGCGGTTGCCATGTTAGTTGAGATTGTTTCCATCTTTTTTGGGGGGGAGTCAATCCAGTTTTGGTTGGGGGGGGGGTGTGAATTCCGGAGTAAAACACCGCCTATGCCTGACATCCACAGCAGGTGCTGTGCTATCCAACCTCACATGTTTCCAAGTTTGGTTGCGGGGAGACTTGTTTTAAAGCGAGGGTGATTCAGGTCACCACGGTGGGGTGTATCCCTTTCCCTTTTCCGATTTACTGGGGTTCCCACCTGAGGGCCGCGTAAGCATCAGCTTTCAAAGGCACCCCTCTTATCAACACCAAGACAGGGTTGCATGGTTGTTGTTGGGGAACATTTTACATTTTTGCATATTGTGTTTTAGTGGGAAATCCCCACTTCACTGCTAAATTTTAAAATGTTGCTCCCCTTCCAACGTCAACCAAGGTTGTGAAAAAAGCTTGCAAACAGGCGTGGGTCAAACATGGGGGCTTGCCCAAAATGAAGCCCCGGTGCATGGAACCCAGGGACTAAAACCTGCGGTCCCCGGATAACTCATTTTGACCCATACCCAAATGGCTTAGAGGTTGAATCGTGCCCTGGTCACATTGCCTTCTCGCACTGATTTAGATCCCCTTGTGAAGCAGGCGAGCTTGATGCGTGCTTGATGCCTGCTCCATTTAGCCAGTGGTGCATATCCCCACGCAATAGGACTCGTGGAACTTACTTGGATTTAAACTAGACATCACCCACAAAGGGGACAACTGGGGCAGTCAGTCATCCAGGTACCTGCTCTTGGGATCGCTGCGTTAAAAAAATGCTTCAGACCACCACGGAGATGGTGACCAACAACGCGGCGGCGGCCTTGGGTGTGCCGTTGGCACTGGACCTGGCCAAGAAGATGGAGCTGGAATCCCCGCACTCGCTGGCGGGGCTTAGGGGGGGCTCGGGCTCGGCATCTCTCAGTCGGGATGTGCTCCTTGTTGGTTTTTGGGATCCCTCGTGTAGGAAATTGGGGATGGCCAGTGTGGGTGTGGGGGTTTGCTCCAAATGTGTTGCCCCTTGCAGGAAATTAGGGATGGCCAGGTGTGGGGGTTCGCTCCAATTGTGTTGCCCCTTGCAGGAAATTAGGGATGGCCAGACGGGTTTGGGGGAAACCGAAGGTTGCGTGTGGGGGTCTTGCTCAAAATGTGTTGCCTTAGCGCAGGTTTTAACCAAAAACAAGTCTGCTCAGCTCAAGGATTCAGAAAGATGCCTCAGTTTGTCCATAAAGCACCCTATTCTGCTAAGCCTAGGTCGGGCGCAGGCCTCTTGTTTGGTCGGTTGGTTGTCTAGGTGCTGTCTGGCTTGGTTGCCAGGTTGCTTCGGCCTCATTTTCTTCTGGATTTCTGTGGACGGACGAAATCCTGCAAGCATTGAAACCATTGTCCGTTGGTATTTCCAGTGGGGTTGTGTTATTTCCTTGGGGTTCTGAATGGTGGTGTGAAATGGGTTTCGTCCATCCACAAGGGGACCCACTGCCAAGTTGTGACTAGACCAAGGGTCAGCTTCTCATGGCTCCCACAGCCCCTGTATTTGCTTGAGACCTGAGGTCCCTGCAGGTCTCAACCAAAAGTGTAAGCCACTTGGGACCGTGGCAACAAAGAACAGCCAGTACTTGGCCAAACCACTCAAGTGAGTGGAAGGCAAATGCTCACCTGTCGTGCGCTTTAAACTCTGATCTTCGGCAGCTATGTCGGGGTTCGCCAAAGCCCCCAGGGGCGCCCTTAAAAGCAACCCCCCCCATCAGTTTCGCCGGTTCGCCGTTTCGATGGCTTTCCAAATCAGATCCGCAAGGAGGGTGGTCCCACTTCTTGAATTTAGCTCACTTTTTGGATTTGGACCATTCTTGTGGATAAAAGTTTGGACTTCCTTGGGGTCTGTCTCAGGAAGTGAGTCCAGTTTCACAACCCCACGGAGCTCGATTCCCTTCCGGTGGATTCCACCCTCATGCCTTTGATGAGTTCCCCACTAACGGGATCACCCCCCAAAAATGAGATCTCTTTTAAAATTGTTACATGTGGCTCACCAAGTACGAATCAGAAATGAAAGTATGAGTTTTGGATAGGGGGCCAAAGATAGAAAAGCGCGAACTCCCTTTTCACGGCTGTTTCCGTTTTCTTGCTGGGTGTCTCAACCCCCCCCCCCAAAAAAAAAGGACCACTCCCAAACTCCCAAAACGGGTCATGTCCACAGCGGTCACGGGGGGCTTTCCCATGTTGTTGATTGGTTTCCCACTTAACATGGAATCAATCCCCAAACAGACTGAGCGACGTGCCAGGTAATGATCGTCATGTTGGCCGCATCAACTTCATTTGCCTCGCCCATTGGTTACGCGACCAATCTAATCGCTGCGAGCTTAGAAAACCGTCACCCGGGGTTCGGGGGGGGAGGGGGCAACGTTTGACCTGTGGAAGTCCATCCTTCATGGAAAGACTACGTGGATGACCGCCCCACGTAGTAAGTGGTCGCTATCCCTGGTGTGTAGGTCCGCAAAGTGAGTTGTGTGCAGGGGAAGTCCCACTTGGATGACATACAGACTGGGGATACAAGTAGGGAGGTCATGGCGGGACCAACTTTCGACCGCGGAGAGACCAGCAGTGACCTCCAGTTAAGCAGCGCTCCAACCTCCATCGGCAACTGTAGTAGGTGGTTCTACCACCTGATAAATCATAGAGCATCCCGATGAAGGGACGTTTGTAGAGCCAAAAGTAAATGGATCATTTGGCGCTTCTCAGTTGGTTTCTTTGTTAGTGGGTGGGGCGGGTATGTGTAATGTAGGGCCGTTTCCCCCCCTTTTGACTCTTCCCTTTTGGTGTGAGCCATCATTTCGCGGTATTGTATTCCCCCCTCTGACGTTCCTCTTACAGGGGCCATTGAGGGAGGTTGTCCCAAGGACCCATTTAACCAACAACTCCTCATAGGCCTTCCGAAAAGCGTCCCGAATTGATACGGCCTAATTGTCCCTTGGATGCCCAAGCCACTTAAGTAGTTTGCCCATGGGTGCCGAAATTTCTCGTTGCAGCCCGTTTCAACACAGATTAGTTTCCTGGTGCTGTGTTTCAGGGGCAAGCGTAGGGTGCCCTGCCTTCCATTTGCTCAAGACTATGTTTTATTGTAAGTCATATGTCCCCTGTTGGTTTTGAAGTGTTCATGTGTTTTTTTTTGGCTTGGTCCCATTCAACAAATGTGGACACTGTGTATGGCGGAAATTCATTTCGGAGCACTTTGAAACCATGGGAAACGATTGCTGGTTGGTATTTTCCAGGGCTTCGTAGGTGGTCCAGGATTTCGTCCATCCACAGTATGTCACAGGCGCAACAGATTCCCTTCGCGACAGGTCATGGGCCCCGGGGGCTATTCTTTCCTGGACTTTCTGCGACTGGGCGGGCTGCTGGACTTGGTGTGGCTCCTGGGGGTCTGCGCTCTGATTCCGTGGCTATGGCCCATGGAACCTTTGGCCTGAGCCACTTCGAGCCTTTTCCGGGCCAGGTGAGGCATAGAAAGTCAGAG